CCCTCACCCCCTCCATCTCCTCTCAGGCCCTCAGGCCCCCAACGTCCCCGTCCCCATCCCCTTCCCCTCTAGACCCCTCCACGTCCCCTTCAGGCCCTCACCTCCCCCTCGGCCCCCGCTCACGACGAGCCCAGGGCTGCCGCTCCCCCCACGGCTCACTCGGCCGCCGCCATGTTGCGATCGAGCTCCATCCGGGCACCCGCCCTGCCCGCGTTACCCCGGCAACAGGCACCGCCCCCTCGGGTGAGGAAGGCGGGGCTTTGCGAGGGGAAGGCGGGGCTTCGAGGGGAAGGCGGGGTCCTGCCCAGGATTTGACCCCGCCGCGCACCCGTAGGAGCGGTGGCGGTCAGGGAAGGCTAATAGGGATCGTGGCCAATCACAGAGGGAAGGGCGGGAGATTGGCGCTCCCGCTGTCCAGTCAGAGCGCGGCGCGGCGGGAAACGGGGCGGGAGGGGATGGCAGCGCGCTAAGATGGCGGCGGTGTGAGGTGAGCGCGGCGGCGCTGCTGCCGCTCTCCCCGGGGCCGCGCAGGCGCCTCGCCCGCCGGTCTCCGGTGCGGGACGTGGGCCCCAGCAGGGGCCCCGGTGGGTCGGGGAGGCGGCTGCCGCCCTCCGGTCGGCGCTAACCGGGTGTTTCCCCTCAGGCCCCGCCGGTCGCCTTGCTGCGGGCCCGGAGGATGCCGCTCCGCGCTCTGCTGAGGGCCGCTGCGTCGTTGCGCGGCTGCGGTGCGTATATCTCGCCTCGCTTCCCATCCCCGGCCGGGGCCCATCGAGCCGCCCGCGGCCGCTGACGTCTTCTCTCTCTGTCGTCCTCCTCCGCAGCCACCGGGGCGCTCCCCGCCGCCGCCGTGCCCGGGAGGCAGCCAGTACCCCCGTGGCCGCAGCAGGCCGGCGGCATGGCCACCCTGAACCAGATGCACCGTCAAGGCCGGCCCAAACCGCCCCCTCCCAAGCTGGGGGCCACCTTCGGCCGCCCCCAGATCAAGGGGGTGGTGATCAAGAACCTAATTCGGAAGCCCAAGAAGCCCAACTCGGCCAACCGAAAATGCGCGCGGGTGCGGCTGAGCAACGGGAAGGAGGTGGTGTGCTTCATCCCCGGGGAGGGCCACAGCCTGCAGGAGCACCACGTCGTGCTGGTGCAGGGCGGCCGCACCCAGGACCTGCCGGGGGTGAAGCTTACCATTGTGCGGGGCAAGTATGACTGCACCCATGTCCAGAAGAAGAAGTGAGAAGAGGGAGCGCGCAGAGGGGGGACAAGGTGTATGACAGCGGCCCCTCTGTGCCTGGGGA